ATGAGGAGCCCGAGGTACACTTTTCACAGTCCTGTAGCACTAGCTTATTACAGTATTTCTGTAGTGTTTTACTGATCACATCTACGCTTCGTTTCTGCAGAACTTATCCCTGTGGGTTAGAAAGTCTTCCTCCTTTTGGTTTGTTTAAGTGGTCAGAAATTAAACACTAACTTTGATTTCCAGTCAATTTGCTAGTTGAACAAAAGGTCTTTGTTTCGGGATGTTTAATACAGCATGCATCTCCCAGAGCAGGTGAAAGTCCATCTCTCAGTGGCTTAAAACAGGAGTAACAGAAACTGAAGTATGTTTCTACTTGTGCGAGGTGGGTGGTCTGTGGGAAGGGTGGAAGTTATGATCCTTTTATGACACTGACCCAAAATTTGAGTTTGAGACAAGCTGGATGCTGAGCAGATTGTCATTCATGTTTTACGAAAGTCACTCTCTCTCGGCTCACTTCCTGGAAAAACGAGTATCTGCCCCAGGATCTGGCGCTTTGTCCTTTTCCAGGATCTGGCGCTTTGCCTGCATGGGCAGCTTCGGAGAAGCCAGAGGCAGCCCGGTTCCCTCCCGCCCTGGGGCCGTTTGCCCCACTGCACCTTCCCCACCTATAGATCGCAGGCAAGGGCGTGGGAAAGATCAGTGCCTTCCACATCTATAGAAACTTCAGCTGGCGGAGGGGGAGGTTGTACGCTGCAGTCTGTATCTTTGGCATCATCTGTTACAGACCTTCCCATGTAGAGATGCTTTAGATGTTTTGTCCCCTTCTCCCCCACTACGTGCTGCCAAGAGCTGATCTGTGGGGCTTTGGGTTTACGCTGTCCCTACCCATGTGCGGTGTTTTTCCTTTGCTCCGCCCTGAAGCTGGGTACTGAGTTTAGGGAACATTTCATTGAACCCTGCGTTCTGTCGGAGAGATGCACCTCTGCTCAGGGCGGGAGAGGAAGGCTGGGAAGAAGCAGGTTGTCTGTTGAGGCAATTTCCAAAGCACAGCAGCAAGCAAGCAACTTGGTGCTCGGTCTGTGTGGGCTGCGTGGAGGCAGCTGTACACGTGGCTTTCAGAGGACAGAAAGTTAGCAATGTGTCTGGTGCTCAGAGGAGGCCTCCCCTTCTGCAGCAGGGCCACCCAGAGCCGTTCTCTCCGATCCCACAGGGATGTTTCTGCACTTAGTTTTCTATCTGTTTACTGAAGAAAACGCTCTTGCACTGAGGGGGAAACCTCCTCTTTGATATCGCTGTAAATATCTGAGTGTGTGTGTTTGGGAAGCCTTCTTCAGGCCTGTGAAAGTAATCGGAAGCAGACATGACAGGTATTCAGTGGAGTGTATTTGAGCTAACTTAACGAACTTACTGGATTCGTACATACTGGTACGACTGACCTGCAGCTCTCTGTTGGGTTGTTACACTAAGGCCTAAGTGGTTCCTTCCTAGAAGCCAGCTTTTTTCGTAGTGCAAAGAGTGGTTGGCTGGCGCTGTTCAGCTTTCTGGTCCTTCTGGAAGAGAGGCATGAGCTCATCGGACTTTGACCAAGGCATCGATTTGTCACAAGCAAGTGCAAGACTATGTTTTGAATATCAGCCTAAATTGCTCTCTGTATTTTCTGTGACCCGCTAAAATAGTGCTGAAGAAAAAAATTGCAAGAAGATTACAATTCATAATGCTACAGAAAGTTAGCTTCTGTTGGTGCCCCTGTTCCTCATGAAGTTCAAAACAGAGCTGTTCTTTTGCTTTAAGAGGTAAAGGTTGCACACTTCTGATTTCCTCTTAAATAGAGTGTATCTTTTTTTCTGTGATGGAAGCAATTTAATGTAATGTTATTCCTCATATCTACTTAAGCTCAGGAAGCATGAGGTTTGGCATTTCAGTGGGGAAGAAAAAAGTTTCAGGAGATACGTGCAAGATAGAGCATAGCAGAGGAAAACTTGATAAGAGTTTGCTAATGCTTTTTTTTTTTTTTTTTTAAACTCTTCCCTTCGGAAAGGTTGCCGTTGTAGTCAGGCTTGCTGTGGAGGCCTCTCTTCCAAAGACCGTACGCCTTAGTTCTCCGAAACCACTTGCCGTTGCTGTAGCTGGATGGTTATTCTTGTGGGGTTGTGGTGACCAGTTGGGTTGTAGACCCCGTTCCACGCTGAATTGGAAGCTGGCAGAGTGGAGTTTTCCAGTAAACAAATTCTTCAGTTTCCTTTCAGTAAGGATGAAGCACTGTCTTTGAGCGGCATGCTTTCATTGCAGAATGAAGTGCTTCAGTAATTTTTTTTTTTTTTCATCAAGAGTTGATTAAATCAACATTCCTGACAAACATCAGGACTTCACTAATTCGGCATTTTCCAATGGAAAACTACCCCATCAGAAATTTAAAGCAGCTCTAATAGCTAGGAGTACGGACTCTGCCAGATTGTTTAGCTAACGTCTAGCAACTTCACAGGCATTTGAAATAAAATAGCTCTTGCTTCAGTCGTAAGTCCGTATTTTCTCTTGAATGGTGAACTGACTTAATGAAAGATGTAATTATTTGGGTTGTTGATGTCAGAGCATTCAAGGAAATAACGTACAAATTTAAGCACAGAGTTTCGTAACTCCCACCACAGACAACACGAGGGAAGTAATTTGGCCTTTATAAATGTTGGCAGTTGGATTTTATTACTGTTTCAAAATAAATTGAGACTGTGGAGATTATTTGACTATATTATGCATGCTTTGGGGCAGGCTTAGCTTTAAGCTGTATTCTAAATGGGTTTGGGAAAAAAGTGAAGAAAAAGAAAGTCAGAACTAAAAGACTGGATGTCAGTATATCTTGGTCAAACCTATCTGGGTTTTCTTTTTTAAAGAATAAGCTTTATTTACTGTAACGTGGACTCATTTCTGGTTTAAAAAAAAAAAAAAAACTGCGCACACAAAGACAACAGCAAGAAAAAACCCTTCAGGCACAGAAGGTGCGGTAGCAGCTTAAATAGTGGACTTTGGGGAAACTGGTTCATTTCTGAAGAACAAATGCAATCTCAAGGGGAAATACGCTCTTCTGCAGTTTTGAAAAGCAAACCCGTACTGTATTGAAGGTAGAGCAACTACCTAAAAGCTGTTTAAGCTTAGTTTAATGGCCCATAGAATGGGAAACATTAAGTTTGCTTTCAAGTTTATCCTTCTAGTGTTTCCAAATGCAGGTCCCAGTTCTGCCAACACTTCATGGATGTTTAAGGTTAAACAGATGAAGAGTCCCATATGTCTGTCGCAGGAAATAACAAAACACTGATTTGAAAGAGTCCTGGATTAGAAAAGAACTCTTCCCAAATTAAGTTGAAAGTACTTCTTTGTAAACCTATATATGGGGATCAAGGTGGATCAAGGGCTGTTAATGTTTTCCTTTGAGCAAACTGTGCAACGCAGGCTCTTGCCACCGCAGGGTCTCTCCTCTGCTCCAACTTCATAACATGCAATTTACATGATTTTAACAGAGCCTGCAATAAAATACCAGTTTAGGGAATTGTTTGGTTGAGAAGAAGGGAAGAGAGGGAAAAGAGAACATGTTGATGGGGTATTTTCTGACTTGCAGTGTGGGTTGTGAATACTGATGCCACCTGACAGAAGCAGTGATTTCAGTAAGCGGAGGGGGCGGTTAGCTTGTGGGTATAATCACTAACAGATGAGTGACATGGCCAGAATCCAGCCAGGAATATCTCGGGCAGGAAGAAACAGCTCAGGAGCTTTCTTGGATTCAGAAAGCAGAATTACTGAACGTACAAATAGGGTTCACTTGATCATCTTGCCTGTTGCAGCTGCTAGATGTTTTCCTTTCATTCCGTAAAAATAGTAAGAAAATCAAGAAGTCTGCTGTTGTATTCGTTCATACTGTTTCTTAAGCTGAAATCCTGTTCCAGGAGACGGTACACCTGGCAGTTAGCACAGTGTCAGGCCCCCCCCAGTTTCCCCGCTCCCTCCCCTCTCCTGCCTTCGAGCTTCGCGGCCTTTGGCAAAGTCAAAAGCCGGTTTTTGGCCCACAGCAAAGGAAGCCCTGAAGGACCTCAGTATCGTTGGGCTACTGCCCTTAGTATCCGTAAGGCCCAAAGTGGCATAAGCAGCACTGTTTCCCTGCAGTTAGTTCTGTAGCCCGCTCTGTTGCAGTGGCTTCTCTTAGCTACTGCCCTGTATCCTTTCGCGTTCAGATCTTTCATGCTTTCTGTCAGAGCTCAGCGTAACATTGCCCACGTTCTGCTTTTTGTTTCTGCCCGTTTTCACCCTGCCTTTTGCCTTATTTTCGTGGTACCTTGCCCCTACCATTACTGTGCAATCCATCAGAAGCATGAAGTATGCTTTTCATACTTGAATGTGCCTTGCAAGCAAGCAGCTAAATTAGTCTTTCTTCGTAGCTCTCCTCTTTCTCATAATTCCTCTTACTGCATATTAATCAATCCTCACTGCAACCCTATTCTATTTTTATTGCTCTATATCTTCTTCTGTTTGTGTTGCTTATCTGACATTTGAATTATAACAAGGAAAGGACTTTGCCCTCTTGCTTTGTGTAAATACACAGTGCGCTCAAAATGTTTAATATTGTATCTTGCATTAAAATTTATAAGCTTGAACTGTCTAGAGGTACAGACACTGAGGAATTCAGGACATCAGTGGGGATGAACAGAGGAGACCCCTGTATTTAGTCTGGTGTTAGTTTTGTTTGTGCATCTGTGTCATGCCTGTTGTGCTGGACTAGGACTTTGAAGGTGTGTTTGTCAGTCTTAGGATGTGTCAAAATGATGATTGATAACAGTTACATTCTACCCTGGAAACTTTGGGAACTGTTTCCTAGTCCTAAATAAAAGGTATGTTTTATTTTTACTATTCTTTGTATAGTGCATCGCAGTCTGTGAGAGGTAGAATTACTCCATGTTAAGAGCGCTTTTCCCATTCACGTAGCAAAACTGTCACTCACTGAGGTGCTGGTTTTTCTGGTCCAGTTTGAGGAAGTGAGTAAAGGAGAAGTTAACCTTTGTCTCTGTATATCCCCACAGACTTTGCCATCTAGAGACACCTCCTTGACATACAAAACTCAGTTACCACATATGGATGTAGCCTCAACGTTGAGTGATAGTGCCAGTACAGCATCTAAAGTACTAGATCATGTGCAAGAGCTGGACTCTTCTTTCCATCCAGTCTTATCATTCCCTTCAGGTAAGTAATTCCAACACCAGGCCTCTAACAGGGGGTGGTTATGTTCATGAGAGTTGCAGAGTTTATGGACTGACTTTTCTTTTGAGTGATTTTAGAACTTAGTTCTCCTAAAGAAGACTTGGCATTGATGAAATACTTGACTTCAGACTAAATAAACATCTTAACCTTCATCCTTTTGAAAAACACATCCACTCGATTTCACATTCCGGCAGGGTGATTACAACCAAGAGAGAGTGGCCAGGGAAAACTTTCTGGTTAAGGTGGTTTTGCCTGTTGCACGGTATTTTGTTTGGGATCATGTGCAAGTAGTCAGTTTCCAGTGTCTGCGCAGGTCTTCTGTGCCGTAATGGGTAAAATTTAAAGTCTGAGGAAAAAAGAATTAGGACGACTACAGTTGGAAAAACAAGTTTCAGAGTTTCCCTAGCATGCTGAGTATTTGAAAGCAGTTTCACATTTCAGGTCCATTTATTTCTAATTGAGTCACAGAATTGCACAGAATAGATGGGGGGGGGGTTAGGAGATCTGGAGATCACCTGGTCCAACCCCCTTGCTCAAGCAGGGTCTCCTAGAGCAGGTTGCCCATGACTGTGTCCAGTTGGCACTTGAATATCTCCAAGGAAGGAGACTCTTCGATCTGTCTGGGCTGCGTGTGCCAGTGAGTGGGGTTTGGGGGGGGGGATGTTGTTGGGGTTTTTTGTTTGGTTGATTGGGTTTTTTTAACGTTCAGATGGAACTTCCTGTGTTTCCGCTAGTGCCCGCTGCCTCTTGTCCTGTCGCTAGGCACCACTGAAAATAGTCTGGCCCCATCCTCTTGACACCCTCCCTTCAGATATTTATACACATTAATAAGATCCCTCCCCGAGCCTTCTCTTCTCCAGGGTAAACAGTCTGAGCTCTCTTAGCCTCTCCTTGTATGAGAGATGCTCCAGCCCCTTAATCACCTCAGTAGCGCTTCACTGGACTTGCTCCAGTAAATCTGCATCTGTCTTGTACTGTGGGACCCAGAGCTGGACACAGCGCTCCCTGTGTGGCCTCACCAGTGTTGAGCCAAGGGGAAGGATCACCTCCCTCGACCTGCTGGTGAGAGTCCTCCAAATGCACCCCAGGATACCATTGGCCACAAGGGCACGTTGCTGGCTCGTGGTCAACTAGTTGTCGACCAGGACTCCCAAGTCCTCCTCCGTAGTGCTGCTCTCCAGCCTGTACTGGTGCATGGGTTTATCCCTCCCTAGGGGCAGGACTCTGCACTTGCCTTTGTTGAACTTCAGGAGGTTCCTCGCTGCCCATCTCTCCAGCCTGTCCAGATCTCTCTGAATGGCAGCACAGCCTTCTGGGGTGTCAGCCACTCCCCCCAGTTTTGTATAATCAGCAGCCTCACTGAGGGTGTGTTCGTTCTGGTCGTGCAGGTCATTATGAAGGTGTTAGACGGTGTTGACTCCAGCATCGACCCCTGGGGAACACCACTAGTGGCTGGCCTCCAGCTGGACTTTGTGCCACTGATCGTAACCCTCTTGAGTTGGTGCTAGTCCCTTAGATATGCCCGTCGGTGGGTGAAAGCACTGTCTTGGTTTTGCTGTTTTCATGAGCGTTTTTCAGTTCAGGCAGGCCTTTTGCTTTAGCCCCCAAAAGCTATATTTAGTTTTTCTAATTGTTTTTGTGATAGTCAGCCTTTTTGGTGATCTTTGAAGTTCATGGTTTCTGTAAACTGATTCTTTAAATCTTTCTGAACAGTAATACAGATGTTGCTTCTGACTCGTCTTAGCCTTGAAACTAGTGCAGCTGACTTGTCAACACTTGAGACTTCAAAACAGCATATTAAATGCTGCTCTCAGCAGAAGGGATTCGTGTGATTTGATTTTTGCCTTAGGAAGAACCTTCTTCCAGGTAGTTGTTGACGAGTACAAGAACCCTGCTGTTTTGCGGGAGGTTCTTTGCCACAGAGTAATCCTGAACGTGAGGCTGGGACTTCTGAAGGACTGTTTTAAGTCTTTAATGAAACCCACTGTCTTCGCAGAATGACAGGGTATACCCTCCATCCTGGTATTAGGAAATCGAGGATTGAAGTTCTCAGTTTGGAGAACTGTTCAGCAGCCAGCAGAGAAGACACGAGTGTGGACAGGGAACCTGTAGGAGGTCTCCACTCGCAGGTTCACTGCAGGTCACGCGTGCAGGTTAGAGGAGAGTATCTGCTGTGTTGCCTCCTAGCTGAAGAGCAGAGAGGGATTCAGATTCAAGATGGACGTGGTGTTCTCTGTTGTACCTACTCTTTCCTTTTAAAGGAGGAATCACAATTTGCAGGTAACCTAGTAATATGGTGCAGCTGGACTGACTCACTAGTCTTTTTGCTTCTGGAAGAGTAACTGTCATTACAGTCCAAAGTCTGGCCTGTGGAGTTCCCACTTCACCAGGGGCTTTTTATAGAAAGTATGTGAGTGAGCGCAGCATACCTCGAGCATAAACTTGCACCTGAATAGCAGGAAAATTGTAGTTTGCGTCTAAGAAGTTTGGGAGGCGTTTCTGGTATTTCTGCACATAGCCTGTGGATAAACTGGGACGAACGCTCCTGCCCTCTTATTTAAGATGTAGGAGCACATAATGAACAATCTCTGAAACATCCAGGTGATTCCCCACTGAAAAGCAGGAGAAATGTTTTTGTTTAAAAGAAAAAAAACCTGTGACTGATAAACCTTTCAAGCCTTCTTTATGTTTTATTCAGGTGTAGAATAGAAAAAGAGCCAAAAACCTTGCGGAGAAAAAACCTTTTGCAGGTCACCTTTAGTACTGTGACAAAGTATCTAGTTAGATCAGTATCAGATTGAAATGATTTGTTCTTTCTAGTTAGCAAAATATGTTGAAGGTTCCTCTTCTGGCAAGTCCTCAAGGCACATGAGGCTAAGGTTATATGTAAAAGAAACAGTGGTTTCATGCCTACCCTTTGGCCCTGCCCTCAGTCCCTTTCTCATTCTGAATTTAGTAGTTGCCGAGCCTGCTTCTTACCGTGACGCGTCCCCTCTGAATGTCGCTCATGCTAATAGAAACAAGGAGTTTTTATCTCCAGGCAATTAATGGAGATTATCTTGCACAGTACTTGTCTGTCTTAGCTATCTGGTAGCCAATACTATGGGTGCTTTGTCTGCAACGGAGGGTAGCAAATATGCAATAATTATCGTGCTGAGAATCAAATGCCTTGCCTCCATTTTTTTGGTTTACCTATGCAAAAATCACATCTCCAAAACACCTGATTTGGCTTTTTTTGAGATGCCGTGGTTGGGTTTTCCTTGCAGCGCTCTCTGTTTTCAGGGCATCCTCCTTGTATTGGCTGCAGTTGGACTGTGTGAAGTCGCTGCTGCCGTACAGTCGGTCAGGCCTCTCGGGAGTTACTCTGCACTGCTGCCCTTTCAGGAGCTGAAGGACTCAAGGCAGCTATATTGCTCGTGGAGGATATTACATAGCCTTGTGTAAATCGATTCCTAGGCATTTAGCAATGATGAATCATTCATTGGTTCATAGGTAGCCGGTTTTCTCATATAGACTCCTTTTTCCTTTGTTTTTTTTGTTTGTTTTTAGATATTCCTCTTCACGTGTATTTTGAAACGTTGTTAAGAAAGGATGACGTTAAAGGAGAACCTGTTGATACGTCCTCGCTGGGGGTGGAGTTTAAAACGTCTCCAGACAATGGTATGTAAGGCAAACTATTTTTCTGTTTGCAAGACTGTTTTTGGTTGGTTTGCCAGTATTTCCTGTCCTGAAGAGGTTCAGATTTATAAACTACCACAAAGCAGGCTTTTAGAGAAGGTAGCTGGCTAGGGGATTGGGAAGGGCAGAAAAGAGCACTTCCCAGAACACACTGCATCAGAGTAAAAGACAAGTATTTAGGCTCTGGGCAAATAAAAGATAAGGAAAATGAACACTATATCCACCGTACCATCATCAGTCAGAGGTTAAAGATTCTTCCTGAACAAAAGCAGTCAATGTGAGTCTGAGTCTGTCCTCAGATTTCTTACATTTGGGTTCACAGTATGGGATTGTACCACTTCAGTTTCTTTTATTAGTGAAGAGACTAGAGGTTAAAAAAACGAAAGAATAGGCCATCCCAGGTGTCCATGCAGTGTGGTAGGAGGAAATGTCAGGCCACGAGCCATGGCAGAATCCCACCAGGGCTCTGACGGAGCAAAGCGCTTCAGGCACATGGGTAAGGGTGGGATGGGGGAACTGGGTCCTTCGAGGTGGTAGGGTGTGTGTTGGGGGGGGGGAAAAAAAAAAAAAAAAGAGGGGGGCCTTAATCCATGAAACCTTCTTAGGTTAATTGACTGACTTGCCACTTGGTTTATTTTCTTGATTACACTGGGGTTGTTTCTTCATGTTCTTTTTTAAAGATTAAAAAATTAAAACATATAGCTCCATAGGTGGCATGACAAATTAATTACAGCAGCAGAAATGCATGTTTTTTTACATGTGAACCGTAGCATCGTAAAAGGTTATGTTCCTTATATTCCTATTCTTACCTCCTCTTCCTTTTTCCTCTTCCAAGGATAGTAGGTTATTCCCAGAGGTACCTTTGCTATGGGCAGTTTGGTTGGAGAGGGGAGCAGTGCTACACTGACCCAGGTCCACCAAAGCCGCAGGAGGGCACCAGGCCGAGCGGGGAGCGTTTGGCCCGGGGGTTCTTCGCGTGCACAGACGCCTGGTTGCCGTATTGTTTACTGCTTGGATTTCTGTTAGAAGGCTCTTTGCCATTTCCGTTATAAATAGTTCTCCAATTTAGACTGTAAATTGTGCTAGTGGAAACTAAGCGTTCAACTTGATACATGCCTTTTCTGTTGTAGACTATAATCAACATAACGTTTCCCTCAAACAATGGAGCAGTGGCTGTTTATCTAATCCCAAATGTCCATCAGTGTCGGGAACATCTGACCAGCTGTCAGAGGGAAGAAAGAAAAGGCACCTAAGTGAGACAGCAGTAGGTAAGACAAAAATGGTATTGTTTAAGACAGTACTACTACTTCAGATACTTACTATATAAGAAGCGTGTTATCACTGGGCTTTTAAGAATGAATTTCGGGTTATCTTCAAAAAGGATACTGCTGTGAAACTTTACAGGAGTGAAGAGACAGACTTACTGCACCATGAAAGTAATGCACTGTTTTAAAGCATAGTAATCTTTCTCTTTCTACTTTCATATATATTACAAAAGTAAACAAGCTTCTGTGTTGTATTCCTGGAATACTCTTTAAGGAAACTGCTCAGCAGTCTGGCTGTGTTTTTTGTAATGCCAGCTGCCATTATTTTTATTTCTATTTTTTGGTAAGCAGTCAGTGAAACAGACTGAATTGCGAAGTCATCTGTCAAATCATGTGCTCAACCAAACATTTACTATTTCTAGAATCTTTGGTCAGTTATGTTTCGTTTGTTGTGTACTGTCATTTGCGGTTCTGGTTTCCTTCCAGGCTGTTAAGAGGGCTTGTGGGTAGCCAGCGTTTATAATTAGTGTTTTCACCCATGCTGTCTTTATAGTTCAACCCATTGAATCTGTACGTCAGCACTAGGTAAATTAATAGAAACTGCCTTGTAAGTCCTGTAGAGCCGCCCAGAGTAATGTGATTGTTTAGGGACAGAAAATTCAGCATCCCATTGCAAAGAAAAATAGCATCTTGCCTCTCGGTGCTCTTGGGACCTAAAAGCCTAACAGATTCCATTACGGATAAAACTCATGTATGTGAACTTCTGGAAGACTTCTGGCAAAATGCCTCATGAGAGACTTGAACAAAATAAATGACAGAGTGAAAAAAAAAAAAAAAAAGGACAGAATATACTGGTTTAAAATGTCCACTAAGAAAGAATTAAAATATATAAATAATCAGTTAACATTATGGAAAAATGTGCTAATAACTAAAACTGGTGGTGTAATCTTGCAGTAAAGGTAGGGATATGGGAATTACTGCAGAGAT